CCCATTACTACTCTGTGGATCTACCATTCTGTGTCCCCAGACACATTGGACGCCTTTTCCTTTGTTGGGCTGCCACGCTTGATTTCTTTGTTACCCCCGGTCAGTCCTCAATAACTAACGACTCCAAATAAAATAAAGGAGGGCTCACCAGCCACCCCTTGTTACGCACCCTAACCCTGGACATTATTTGGCATTCTAAACTCAAATAGGGCAATGGAAGTCCTCCCTGCTGCATTTCCCTGGGATCAAACTCTTTGCTAGTGAACGGTTGGGCGGAATTACATTTACCAGGAGGAAGAATGGACCTTCGAATGTACAGTATGTACAGTACAAGAGTACATGGCTATCCATCCCTGCACCCTGGCAGCCCCTATCTACTCATAACAATGTCTCAAGCGGTGAGCAAAGTCTTTTGAATTATTTTCTCCTGAATATGGACCTTCTGACAAGACAGGTCAAAGTTTAACTCCATTTTCCCCTTAATTTCCTGGAAAATTCTTACTTCCGGTGGTCACTACTAAACGACAAGCAGTTCGGACCGTTACTATATCAATTTTAAGATAAGTATGTCGGCCCTAAGGATATGAGCAAGTTTTGTTATGTATCACCAGACTCACAAACTTTTTAGCTTCATGGGCATTAGGGCACCAACAAAACGAGTAAGCATATCCATGAGCGTGAGGCTAATTGCAATGATGGGCAATCAATTAGAGACATACACAAGCCCCGTAAATATATATTTATTCTCCGTTTGAGGGGAAGTCATTATTGCCAAGTCAGGAGGGCCCCCGTACAGCGGTTCCAAGCCAAGTTAGGTAGGTATTGACTCGAAAATAAACTCAAAACATTAGCAGGTACCGCCACGAGATACTTTGTGATGTTGCACTGCACACGAGCCAGTACGAAGAGTACTTCCCCTCCCGATCTGGCTGACGGCTGTGCTGACGGCTATACCCGATTGTTCAATCCGCCTACTAGATGCATTCACTTCACCAGAATCAACCAACTAATTTATCCTTATTGTGGGGCCGTGTGGACATATGTTCCTGTACAGATTACATATCCTGCATATGCAGGGATTTAGGCAGCTCTCTTTATCACC